GCCCTGCCGCACCAAGGCCTGCCGGACGGTGTCCAGGCCGCTCAGCACCAGCACGGGCATAGAGCCGATCCGGATCTGCAGGACGTCCCCATACTGCTGGCTCAACCTCGACAGGGCCAGGTGTGGGCTCTTCCCCAGGGTCAGCACGTGCCCAAGCAGGGGCCAGCCCCACGGCCCTGGAGGACTCTTCAGGCCTTTGGGGACCCGAGGCTGTGAGGCCCTGACCACCCAGAACACGAGGCAGAAGATGGCAGAGGCCAGGAGGAGATCCGTGGCCGAGATGGGGATTGGGAGTCCAAACACTGAGGGCATGATCAGCGCAGGGATCTTGGAGGTGCTGAGAGACAAGACAGGAAGGAAAAGTCAAGCCATCAGATGAGGGGCTGGGAGAAGCCACAGTGTCAGCATGCTAGTTAGGGAAAGGGAAATCATTCCAGCCAGAACTGCTCACTGCACACGAAGGGGAGGAGCAGGTGGGGAGAGGCTGTTTGTTAAGTTACCACTGAGGGTTAAGAATTTCCCAGTGATTCTTAATTCAGTGCTGACCACAAATCTGTGAGATAGGCTGCAGTGTGGCTCAGAAAGGGTAAGTATTAATAACTTGTCCAAGATCACACAGCCAGGAAGTGCTGGATACAGACTCTCAACCGGAGTTGCCTAATTCCTGACCACTTTCTCTTAACTACTACACGAATCTAAAATATCTTCCAATGTCAATCTGTGATTTCTTTGTTTTTTCTTCACACACAGTTAATTTTCTTTTTTTTTCACACACGATTAATTTTTTTAATTTTTAATTTTGTAGCGACAAGGACTCACTAGACTGTTCTTGAAGTCCTGGGCTCAAGCAATCCTCCCGCCTCGGCCTCCCAAGGTGCTAGGATTACAGGTGAGAGTCACTGTACCTGGCCTCAATCTGTAATTTCTATATAGCACCAGTACTATTAGTTACTTCACACTTACCTAAAATCAGCTTCAAATCCATCCATATGTCATCCTAAACAATATCTGTGTGAAAAAATCTGCACAGCTTAGATTTTTTCCCCCACCACACTTGCTCATCTACTCATGGCCTCATTTCACCTTTGGGAAAATTAACCTCCAGAGTGGGCACTGACTTGCCCAAAGTCCCTCAGCAATCAGTGACGGAGGCAGGACTCAGACCCCTTATGGACAATTCCCTGGAAATTTCCAGCTGCCATCACATGTACTGCCCTTTGAAGAGTGGTCAGATCAATGAAGGAATGTTCTCAGAACCCTTCGTTTGCTGCTCAATCCCAGGATCTAGGAAATTCCACCAGGCCCCAGAACAGGACAGGGAAAGGACCGGGGACAGGATGGCCACTGCCCAAGCCATGCTGCTCTCAGCACCAGCTCTCTGAGTTCAACTACCCACAGCTTAAAGGCAGCTAGAGACCAGCTAGAGACCAGTTAAGCTCCCAGTCACAGAAATCCAAGCCAGGATTTTTGCTGGGCTAGATTCTCAATGAATGAACAGTCTGGGCCTCCCCCTTTTGCGGGTCATCAGAGAGCAGAGAATAAATGAAAGACTTCCACTGGGCTGTAAAAAAACTCCAGACTGGAATCAGGGAAATCAGGAATGGATCTGAACTTAACAGAAGCCGAGAGGATACTGTCTCTCTAAGCTTGACCTAGAAAGGGTGTGCAAATTCATAGACCACTCTCGCCAAGGTATTAGGCTCTGTCTGGGGCATCTGTCTGTCTAGTTCCGTGGAATAAAGGTCAGGTGACCCAGTGCTCTAGTCCAAGTGACTTTAGGCCAAGCACCGTGGCTCATCCCAGCACTTTGGGAGGCCAAGGCAGGAGGATTGCTGGAGCCCAGAAGTTCGAGATCAGCCTAGGCAACATAACAAGACCTCATCTCTACCAAAAAAGAAAAAAAAAAATTAGCCAGGCTTGGTGGCACGGGCTATTGTCCCAGCTACTTGAGAGGGTGAGGCAGAAGAATCACCTGAGCCCAGGAGGTCGAGGCTGCCATGTGCCATGATCATGCTACTGCACTCCAGCCTGGGTAACAGAGTGAGACTGACTCTTTTAAAAAAAGTGACCTTGGACTGGTCATTTTACACCTCTGGACTCCAATTACATGACCTGAGAGAGTGTGCGGGTCAAGAGCTCCCAATTCTGAGTGCCCAGCTGGGTCCTAGGAAAGAGGGTGAGGTTTCCCCATAGGAGAACCACACAAAACAGGGAGATCTTGGTTCCTACCTCAAGTATTATAGCTGCCTCATAGTGTAGGGAAGCTTCCTGGAGGAGCTGAACCCCAAAGTACACTAGATCCCTGATGCCCTGAGTGAACTGAGGACACTGCCAGGCCTTCGTGTCCCATGGTGTCCCCCTCTGCAGAATGGATGCCCCAAGGACCTCCAGCCTTTATATGATGGTAACAGGCCAATGGAGATGTGACTAGTGACTTTTCAGGAACTGGCATTTCCAGCTCTCTGCAGTTGGAGTCTATCACACTGACCAACTCCCAGCAAAGGACAGAAACATAGTCAATGAGATAGGAAAGGCCCCTGGGTAGTGCCTGCGACTCCTGCTCAGATCAGTCTCTCATTGGGACCAGGACATCTAGCTCTAACAAATTTTGGGAGGGGTAGCTTTCAGACAAGTCAAGGACAGGTAAGAACCCAGCTCGCCCCCTCTGCCCTGCCCACCCAGGGAGAACCCCCTGTTATCACATAGCCTAAGGAAGGGACTACAGCTGCTCCCAGCTTCTCTCAGCTTGTCTTTATTTCAGCCTGCCCGGTGACCCTGATGAGGGAAGCCTCAAGGTGGTCAGGAAGTCAGCAAGGAATGGAGCTGGAGCCTAATGTCCTGAATGGGATCTTTCTGTATCTCAAGGTCTGGTACCATGGGACCATGGCAAGTCCTGCTATTCCCCTGGCCTCAGTTTCCCCACTAGTGGGCTAGACTGCCTGGTCTCCAAGGACACTCAGCCTTCTTTTTGGAAGAGCTAGACCAGTGGCTACCTAAGAAGACCTAGAGGCACCAACATTGTCCTTTTACTGGAAGGAAAGGGACCAGCCAGAAGCCCCCCAGTACTCACCTGTGGCCTGAAGAGGGGCTGAGCTGAGCTGGGAAGGGTGGATTCTGTAGCCAGGGATCCCAGAGAGGACCAGGGAAGGCTCCAGGGAACTGTCACCTTCGGGGTAAGGGTGAAGGCATCGCCACCTTTATAGGCGGTGCTCTTGCGTGTGGCCACGCCTTCCCCGAGAACGCGGTGGGGGGACAGAGGGAGGGGCAGCCTGGTGGGGGGGGGCTGGTCTCTCTGGGATGGGAGGGAAAGAAGCGGAGGGGGGGACCATTATGGTGACACCTCATCTAAGTGTCGGCACATAAAGTGGTGAGTGCTGGGGACACCTGAGAACCCCAATTCCAAGGCACCCCAAGGGAAGTGCAGAACCAGCTGAGTCGGAGGTTTGAGGGAGAAGTCCCAGGACAGACAGAAGAGAGCATATAAGGTGGGGGGGGGCGCTCCATCCTGGGGCACTGGGACTCCTCTTCATCATTTTTGCACCCACCGGAGCTCTGGACATGCAAATGCCTCCCTCTCCTACTATACTAGCCAACCAGGACCAGACAGGCAGGGGCGGGGCTGCCGGTGGTGACCTCCTTCCCGGGGGTTACTGAGACCTGGCTCGCGTGAGAAGCGCGGCGACCCCGGCCCTGAGGTCACGGGGGCCGGAAGGACCGAGGCGCCGCCGGGCTGGCCCTGTCCCCCAGAGCCCAGGCGACAAGCAGAGGTCGTGCTTCTTGATGGAAGGACCGGGATGGATGGCGATTGTGCTGTCTGACTGAGCGCTCACTAGCGACTCGGCGCCGCCTCTGGGGTCACTTTGGGCAGACTGCAACCCAGGGAGACCTCCAGCAGAGCCCCACCGGCCTTGGGCTCCCGGGTTGCCAGCGTTTTGGTTGGCGGGGCAGAGAAAGCGGGCGGCGGATGGGGCTGCGCGGCCCAGGCCGGGCAGGAGATGGCGGGACCAGGGACAGCGCAACGGGTGCCCGACGCGGAGGCGCCCCAGGCTGGCGTGCGTGCGCCCGCTCTGTCCCTCCTGGGGGCAGAGGTCGGCGGCCCTCCCCGCCCCACCTGGCCGGAGGCGAGGTGCCCAGGGGTTGCGTGAGAAGGGCCCACAGCCACCCAGCCGCCGGTCCTGGCCCGGCGCGGGTCTCGACAGTCACGCGAGGGGGTGGGGGAAGCCGGGGCGGGGCTCTTAAAGGACCAGCCCCTCGCGGGGCGTGGGATTAGGGGTGGAGGGAGAGGCACCACCCAAGCGTCGCGAGTGCGCTATTGGATGCAGGGGGCGGTGCGGTGCAAAGGGTCTAAGTTTGCGTGCGGACCTCGGCCTCTGCCTGCAAGGAGAGGGTGACTGCGTGCGTCCACCTTTTGGATCCACACCTACAGCTTGACACGCAGCCCCAGCACCCCCCAGCACGCCTGGCTGCCTGGCTCCAACGCCGTCGCTGCCCCTGCCGAGCCTTCCTATTGTAGAATGTCCAGGGGGAAAATGTCGTCTTTGCGCGTCTAGCTCAACCTGTCCCCAGCAAACATCATCGCCTGCTAACCCTGACGTGCTCCCCAGCCCATCGAATGGCACCACCATCCGCTGATCCAGGCCAGCGGCTCCTGTCCCCTCACCTTCCACTCCAATCAAATGCCACCTCATGCATTGCACACATATTTACCAAGTGCCTACTATGTGCCTGGGACTGTTTTGAGGCACTGGTGATTGAAAAAGAAGGGGACAAAGGTGACATCGCTTCTGTCTTCATATTGTACATTCTGCCTTCATATAGTACATTGCAATACACCCCCAAACTCAGAGAATGTCAGAGGGTGAAAAATGCTATTGAAGACCAGATGAGGTGGCTCATGCCTGTAATCCCAGCACTTTGGGAGGCTGATAAAGGAGGATAACTTGAGGCCAGGAGTTCGAGACCAGCTTGGGCAACATGGAGAGACCCTATTTCTACAAAAAATAAAATTAAACAAATTAGCCAGTTCTGGTGGTATAAACCTGTAGTCCCAGCTACTTGGGAGGCTGAAGTGGGAGGATCGTTTGAGCCCAAGAGTTCAAGGCTACAGTCAGCTATGATCCCACCACAGCTCTCCAGTTTGGGCAAGAGAGTGAGACCCTGACTCTAAAAGAAAAAAATATTTTTTTTTAGTAGGAATCTCACTCTGTCACCCAGGCTGAAGTGCAGTGGCATGCTCACAGCCACTGAAGTCTCAACCTGCTGGGTTCAGGTAATCCTTCTCCCTCAGCCTTCCAAATAGCTGGAATCATAGG